CTCCTGGGCTCAAGCGAGTCTCCTGCCTCAGCCTCCCAAGTAGCTGGGACCACAGGTGCCCGCCACAATGCCCAGCTATTTTTTTGGTTGCAGCCATTATTGTTGTTTGGCGGGTCCGGGCTGGATTTGAACCCATCACCTTAGGTGTATGTGGCTGGCGCCTTAGCTGCTTGAGCCACAGGCGCCGAGCCAGATTCATTTTTTGTTAAAGTGCCAGACCAAAAATAAAATGATCCTGGTCAAGTTGCTGGACTAGTTTTATAATTTACTTTTTAACTTAAGTCCTCCAAACAAGAAAGAACAAAAACAGAAACTAAATTCTATCTATGATGAAATGAGAGGACCACCATATAGGAAGAAGAAACAGAGGAATGGTAAATGCCTTTGGTTTGCCCCTCCCTCTGCCTTGCAAAGCTACTGTAGTGAGAGTTGTGGTTGAAAAGTCAAGTACCCAGATCTATAGTCTTGAAAAGGCTCAGGAGTTGTAAGCACCTTAGTCCAGTGAGAAGCTGAAAAGAGGAGGAGCCTTAGAAAGTCTAAGTACTAAGTAACCAGATCCCCAGGACCCTGCTCAGCACAAACAATTCTCCCAACCAGTACATAGGAGTCAGTCCAGGGGAGTCAGTCCAGGGGAGTAGCCTTGGGCAAGGTCTAAACAAAAGGCAAAGAAAAAAGGAAGGATGAGGTAGTGGGCTTTTTATTTTATTTTAATTAGTTTATTTATTGACAGAGTCTCATTTTATCACCCTCCGTAGAATGCTGTAGCATCTTAGCTCACAGGAACCTCAAACTCTTGGGTTTAAGTGATTCTCTTGCCTCAGCTCCCAAGTAGCTGGGACTACAGGCATCTGCCACAATGCCTGGCTATCTTTAGAGATGGGGGTCTCCCTCTGGCTCAGGCTGGTCTCCAGCTCATGAACTCAGACAATTCACCCCCTCAGCCTCCCAGAGTGCTACGATTACAGGCTTGAGCCATTGAGCATGCATGGTGGTAGTGGGCTTTTTAAAAATGTAGAGATCGGCTCGGCGCCTATGGCTCAACCGGCTAAGGCGCCAGCCACGTACACCTAAGGTGGTGGGTTCGAATCCCCAGCCCGGACCCACCAAACAACAATGATGGCTGCAACCAAAAAATAGCCGGGCGTTGTGGCGGGCGCCTGTGGTCCCAGCTGCTTGGGAGGCGGAGGCAGGAGACTC